TAGATAGATAGATAGATAGATAGATAGATAGATAGATAGATAGATAGATAGATAGATAGATAGATAGATAATCCACGGTCTTCATAGAAGAACACATCTCAGTATTTACCTCTCCCGGTGTTACTGGACATATCCCTGAGTTTGTGCTTGTTGCTCCACCAGCTGAACGTGACGCTCTCCTCCTCCACGCCGACCCGGTTAAAGTGTGTTTATACTCCTACCCCTGCCTGGTCTGGCATGAGTGTTCTCCCACCGACTTCAAGCTGCAGGACATCAAGGTGTTTGTGAAACTGGCTGCTGGTCATATCTGTGAGGCCTCTGAACTCCTACTAAACAAACGTTTCCTCTCTGCGCCTTCATCTCACACCGTTAGGTCTACCTGTGGCCCACCTGCTTGTGCTGGTGGGCTACGGTGTGACGATTGAACAGTCTGCAGGAGATTTAGGCCATATTCTTTATGGCATTATAAAGACTGTATTTGATTTGTCTTATTATAGCGTTACATTTATGTATATGCAGTCAGTACCGAATGAAAGCCGAGGTAAACATCATGGCAGCAGTCACTACGAGACATGGAGCTGAAATTACAGGACTTCACGTTGGATGTGTTAAAGTGAGAGGCGAGCTAGAGAGATGAAAAATTATAATGTGTTATCATTTCTCGGTTTAAGGTTACACGCAGGTCTGTGTAACGATTAGCTGGTAGTTGTTTTTGGCTGTGTGTGTGTGTGTCTTGTCTACAGGCTTCATCTGTTCAGCTGCTGTACACTGAAGGACCTTTCAGCTCCGTGAAATTCTCACGAAAACGAGCAAAAACATCAAGTGGTAATTTATGAGTAACGAGGGAAGAAAAAAAAAAAAAGAAACGATATGACGCCCGTCCTAAAAAAGCAGGTAAGCAGAAGTGGATCAAAAGTCAATAAAGCCGCTGCTGGTTTCTCTAAATGTTCAAAATGTTGTCATGACCTGCTGGGAGGCAGTTTTAAATGACGGACAGGACACCTGGACAGCCTGATTCAGTTCAGTTTACCTGCGATAACTTTAACATCCCAGGTAGTAATAATCCAACCTACAGCGCATGCCCAGGTCTAATTTACCTGATACTAATTCATTTATTATTAACTGAAACACACTCTTTTAACGTCGCTGAACAAACCAGTGACAATTATCTACTTTTTTCATCATTTTTGGTAAGTACTTACTTTATTTTACTTTATTTGACTTATTTTTGTTAGCAATTAGAAACATGTAATATTTTGAAACCTGAAAAATGTGTGATAGTCTTAAAAAATAATCGAACTTCTAGATGATTATTAATAATGGAAATTGGAGGTAGCTGGTGAAGAAAATTTTAAAAGCATTTAAACTAATATGACATGACTCTAATGTAAAATTAAATCAAGTGTGTTTTATTTAATTTACTTCGATCAGGCCAAATAAAGAGCCGGTACACAGAGATGATCCACAGCGGGCTAACTTTTACGTTTGGACGTGAATGTATCATGACTAAAACTGTGTAATTATTAATTTAATAAGCTGCCCGCTGTTATCGATCGCTTGTATTAACGACGGTTATAAATGTTCAGTGGAAAATGTGATTTCCAGCAAAACTTGAAGGCCTCGCTGTTTTGCTCACAATTCCAAATTTAGCATAAAAACAAGACAGTTTGCGTTAATGAATGTATCATTGACTGTGATGGGGGTGCCTTTTATTTTAGGAGGAACAATTTACTTATTTATTTTAAGAAATCAATGCACTTTGGAAAATTAATAAGAATTATTTATCTGTTTTTGCGCGAGGACTCGTGCCTATAAGGTCACTCGAGTTATGTCACTTAAAGACACAAAACAGACACACTCTTTGTTTTTTTCTGCGCACATTTTTCAACTTTAATTAAATTCTTTAGATAACGTCTTGTTTTTCTCTCCTTCTTTCACGGGAACAGCGTTAAACCCTAAGCTCTGTCTCGCAGCATTTTGCGGAGTGATTTCTCTCCGTGTTGTCAGGATTGTCTAACGTTCTCATTCAGACATGACAGATCACACAGAAAACATGTTCACTTTAGAAGAGGGCTTACCTTTCCACGCAGGAGCTCGAAATAACAGCAATAATCATAAAAAATGTTCCACAGCAAATATTCTGATATTATCCAAACGATCTCTGGTGGTGTGCGTCCGAGCCGCGTTGGAGGAGGATGGACCGCTGTTGTGCTGCGTTGTGTTGCGTCGTGTGTGCGCAGTCGGCACTGACTCAGGTTTTATCCAGCAGGGCTGCGCAGAGGATGGAGCAATGCAGCCATTGGACGAGGAGGATGGAGGAGGTGTGTTTTGGATTGGTTTTTGGTTTTTGGTTTTTTGTTTTTTGAGGAGGAGAGGGGAAAAAAGTGGGACAGGATGACTGACCGCGGGCTCTGATGGCATCACACCCCCTGAGTGACTGTACGGAAACACTTGTCAGGAGGCGGCTTGTTTCTATTCACCTCCAGCGACAGCCCCGCTTTGATTAGACGGTGAACCGGCGTGTGACACCGGGCCCGACTTCCACACGATATGCTGCGATGCCTCCCTGACAGGCGACTCTGGAGGATCCCATTGAGTCCCACTGAAAAATGTTTTGCAAAACTTTTTTTTTTTTAAACCGAACAAAGAGCAGAAAATGAAAGGTGGAAAATACTCTCAGGTCAGCAGGAGAAACTTTTATGTCCAAATTAAATTGGGGGAAACAAATTAATCTTCGCAACCAATGAAGAATCACGTTATTTATATAAATATAGTTTAACCAAAAAATAAAAGTAATAACAATTCAAATAATTAGTCTTTACCAAAATAAAATACTCCGCGAATAATAAGTAAATAGATAATAAATAAAAACACGAAAATTAAATAAACCTCTGGTCCTAATCTTTTTGTTGTACTTCCTCTATATCTTATTTTTAAATGTTGCTCTCTTCCTTTATATTTAACAACAAATATTAGCCTGCGTGTCTTTAAAAAACGATACAAGGTAAACCTTTTACTGGTTGCATACAGCATTAGAATAAAAACAAAAAAACAACTAAATATGATGAGAAAAAATAAAAAGTTTTTGGCTCACACAGGAGACAGAGGGGCTTCTGAAATAAGCTGCAAGACACTAAAGAGTTGTTTTTTTGTTTTTTTTTTGCATTTGAGCTTTTTCCAGCTTTTATGAAAAGAACGCATCCGTGCCTCAGTGTGTCCACGTAGTGGTTTTGTGTAGTTGAAAAAAAAAAAAAGTAGTTCTTGGTTTGACTTTCTGCACCGTACTTGCAGCAGGCCCCTGCGTGTGCGTGATGTGACAGCAGGGTGTCAGGATCCCGGTGAGTTTAAGACGCTGTTAAACGTTGTTCTCATGAGCCTGTAAAACAAACACAACACCTCTTATAACAGACACCAATGACACCGTGTCGTCTGTCTCATATTCAAGTGGCTTTACTCGGTCATATGGACTTAAAAGAATACGATCTGGGAAATAAAGAAAGAAAGAATCAACTTTGCGCTCTGGAAATCGTTCATTCGTCGTCTTTGAAAAGCTCTGCCACTGCACATGGTCAGGTCAGAGCCGTTGCTGGACAAAGGGTCGAGTGTTTTAAAATGAACACAAACGCCAGCACATTAAAGGAATCGTAGTATTAGCTGGAAGCAGAAACAGTCCTCTGTAAAGTGATCGGAGCGCAGAGAAAATGACAAGTGCCTGAAGGGAGAGGTGGCAGAGAAGAGAGGGAGAGAGGGACAGAGAGGTTACCGAGAGTTTAACAAGGGATTAAAACTCAACGATTGGTATCTATCGCGATCATACTTTGAATTAAAATAGCCTTTAATTATACGACTCCATTTGCCAAGGGGCGAAATTCATACACGCCCCAAAATCCACCGGCCTCTCCGAATGCAGGAAGACCGACATGAAGAAGTTACTGTTAAATATGTCAAAAGTTTCTTAACCTTAATTTTTCCCCAGCTGGAGAATGTCAAAGTTGAGGCTGTAAGATATCATTAAAAAGCATAAAAACACAAAAGTTTTGCGTTTTATTTGAAAACATAAATTACTGAAAAACATAAATTCGCATGGAAGATGTAAGAGGAGAGAAATGAATGCGATGGTCCAAGATTTACAATCCAAATGTTTTCTCTTAAACTATAAATTCAGTTTGAATTATTGCGCATTTAGGTGTAAAAATATTATAGAAAAATATAATATACTTTATTGTACAAGAAGAAGATTTGGCTTTACTTTATAAACAGCTCATCAAAAGGTTGTATTTGTGTAATTAACGTACTAAATCCAGTCTGTTTACAAGATAAAACAAGATCACTGCTAAAACTCTATTTACACGCAGACTGGCGCATTAGGCTGGATTTACTGTGTTCATTTTGAATAAGTGTTATAACTGCAAGGCTATCCAAATGCAATCCTCGCCAGACAAGATGTGCACTTGTATGAATTTCACATCACCCCTCATATATCCCCAAAGTGAACAAATGTTAAATCGTTCCTCATAAAGACTCGCTAAAGGCTTGTTGGCAGACTTTTAAGCAACTCTCTGCTTCCTCGTTCAGTTTTCATGTCACTGGAACTCATCGTTTTCCCTCTTGATTGCTCTGCTGGCCAATTTAGAAAAAGTGTACTTATTTACCCTGAGCGATAACTGTGGGAAGTCTCTGAAACGTGCAGAAAATGTTCAGTGGAACACACGCAAGGGGGGGGGGGACTCAAGAGCAGCTCGGTCTGTTTGGGTTAAAAATTAAAAGGCGCACTCACGACAAAAGAAAAATTCCACTTATAGGACTATTTTATTTTTCTCCGGGTGTGTCGTGTTTGTTGTGTATCTCCGGACTGATTTCCCTGAGTAAAGTGTGTGTCCCTGTAAGAAACCTGGTGACCTGCGGCTACAGGTGGCAACAAAAGTTGGGGGTAAAAGGTCAGCCAGAGCGAGCATTTCCGACTCCAGAGATAGGAAATCATCCTCAACTATCCACTTTATATTTCCTTTATATCCTAGAGTTTGTGAAGAAAATTGGACCTGGAAACGATCTCCAGGTTATTCAGGTGATAAACCTGGTCTCAACGCTAAAATATGTCATGAAAAGGAGGGTGGGTGGGTAGCACGGGATAAATCAGGTGTGCAAGGAGCCGCCGAATGCCAAGGACGCACAGTCAGCCTGGGCACGAGCTCGATTTCGTCATTTCATCAAAACACACACGCACGCACGCGCACACACAACAAAGTTTCCACAAATATTTAACAGCTCAGACTCTCTCACTCAGATTAAGCAGAAGTGTGCGGGTGTCCGTCTCATTGTGCACGCGCCGAGAAATTGCCTTCTGTGCTTCTGCGCGCTCCCGTAAAGATAAATGGGAGAGGAAGAAGAAAAAAAACATCCACTTAATGACAACTTTAATAAATCTAAGCCTGGTGGGCGCTTGTCTCTTTGCGGTCAGCGAGTCGAGATGAGCCACATAATTAGGCCATAATAGCTGGAGAAACATCTCAGTATTGATGATCCCATTAGGGCAACGATTTTAGCGCACAACTTCTAAAACATACATTTTCTACCCTAATCTTATGTACAAGGGGTTTCTCACACTGATAAACGCTTGAAGAAAATATAACTGCTGCTTACATAAGAAGTATTTCTGTTATAATGAAATGTTTATTTGCTCAAATTCGGACTTGATGGCTTATTCTGTTAAGCTGAAGCTCCTCAGGTGTGTCACTGGGGCCATGAGAGGGTTTATAGAAGTACACATTCATTGGGGGGAGTTTGATTCACACTTTCCCCACAAAGCTCCAGACATGTGAACCTTAGTGATCTACAGTGTAGCCTATATGTTACCATATGGCATCCAGACATGTTTAGGTGTCAAGCCTTCCTTCCTTGCTGTTACTCTCGTGATGCATGTGTTGCCAGCAGCTTTTCAGTGCCTCCTCTCTCTCTCTCCAACCAGCCTTTACCATCTGTTGTAGCTCCCCTCCATTCTGTCCCTTCATCTTTTTCTTCCCATCTTCCTGTGTTTTGTGCACTGTCCACCCTCCCTCCAGCTTTGTCTGTCTTAGTTCATCCCTGTCCATTGTTCTCCCTTGTTCCTCCCCATTTCCGCTTTGCTGTTACCCTCTGACCTCACCCCCTTCCACCCTGCTGACCCCCTCCATCACCACCACCGCCGCCACCATCACCCCACACAACTTGGCACCCCAAATCTTCTTGTTCTTCTCTTGACTGATTCCTCTTTTAAGTTTCTTTCGGAGGGCTAATAACTGTTGCCAGCAAGCTCCACACAAAATCCCAGCATGATTGCTATTGTGAGACGTACAATGGCGTGCTGGCAGTAATAGCCATTAGCAGCAGAGGGGCTTGGCTTGAACGTAATGTTGAGCTGTGTTTAGCCCACATGCAACTTGGACCGGTGGTCAGATAGGAACTTTCACTTTCATGACCGATCACCATCAAGTTTTTAATTTCCTCTGAGTGTTTTTCTCCAGTATTTTTCTTTCTTCCCCCCCTAAAACAACATAAAAGTGGAGGAACTTATTAAAACGTGCAGTTATTTCCTTAATAATTTACACAAAGTAGGAGGGTGGGTGATACAGGCCACAAACTGACAACAGCACTCTCTGGGTAAAAGAAGGAGACTTTGATCATAGCAGCTGGTGGACCTTGTCTTCATACCTGTCACTCAGAAGAGATTACCAAGGAGACGTGCATCATAAAGCTGGCAATTGGCTGCAACAGTTGAAGGGGTGTAGAGCCGAGTGTCCTCAGGGGAACTCAGGTGCTCTCCTTGCAAGAAAAAAAGAGTGAGACCGCAGAGCTGATCGTACGTAAAGTAAAAGAGCCTTGTTATCCTCGAAGTGGTATGTAGCCATAATGCAGAAAATATCAAAGAATGTGAAGCAAATGAAAAATCAAGAAAAATAAAGCACTTTGTGTCATCCTCTGGATTAGTGCCTTATTACTTCCTGCTTCTGATGAACTTGCTGAAGAGACGTGACAACAGGAACATGGCACATTGGGGTCACTTAAGAGAAGAACTTGTGCTGTGCAAAACTGCCAAGGAGAAAAAGTTAGTTTCCTATTTCCCTTTTTAACCCAATAGTATTCCTGCGAAGTGTCCTTGGAGAATGATTTTATAGCTCCAGTTAAGTTGCTAGGTTTCTACAAATACAACCTGACTGTCACGAATGGATTACAAAGGAGTGTTA